CCCCCCCTTCCCAAAAGGGTTCCGGGGGGGGGGGAGGGGAGCTGGGGCAGTCCTGGATGGGGTGGGGGATGGTAATCAGCCACTGGAATCTACCTGTTGATTGTGTCTCTTTTCTGTATGGGTTTATAAAAAGCTGTCCCATGCTTTAAGTTATGCTAAGAGGAAGCTGTATACAAAATTTGGTGGTCCTAGCTCTTGCGGTTTGGGAGGAATTCTTGAACACATATGCAAGCTCTCTCAAATATACAGTAGATTTGAGAAAGAAGCGCTCCTAATCAGCCACTGGAATCTACCTGTTGATTGTGTCTCTTTTCTGTATGGGTTTATAAAAAGCTGTCCCATGCTTTAAGTTATGCTAAGAGGAAGCTGTATACAAAATTTGGTGGTCCTAGCTCTTGCGGTTTGGGAGGAATTCTTGAACACATATGCAAGCTCTCTCAAATATACAGTAGATTTGAGAAAGAAGCGCTCCCCTACTATGTAATTGCATAGTGCAGTCCTGTTTGGAGAAGCTAGACTGACCATCACAAATAGTAAAACAAAAGAAATCCATAATCTGTAATATACAATACGTGTGTCCCTACTATTGTATAACCAGGGATGTGGTATAATGTGACTCTGTTGATGAAGACAGTCCCACAGAAAAGTTTTATTAAGGACATTTGGGAGCAAATTCTGATAAAATCAGCAGAGACTGATTTATTGTGACTGTAGTTCTGGTATTCTGTTTCTACCCATTGATTCTTATAATGAAGTAAGACTGCTTTATAGTAATAATGTTTACTTACACAAAACTAAATTGTGATTTATTACTACTATGATTATTCCTTATTATTTCTTTGGGAAGATATCTGTTTATAATTTCATTCCTATCATATTTTGCAGACTTGGATTCTAGAAAGTTTCACTCAAAAACTAGATCATCTGTATACTCAGCACTTTTTGAGTAAGTTTCATATTTCAGACTCATGCTTGTTTCGATGAGGTAGATGAACTTTATCTGTTCTTTATTTTCAATGGTTAGTGAAGCCTCGTTTCTAATTCACTCAGATTCAAAGCTAACATTAGATTTTCTGTTAGTTGTGGTGGGCTTTGGATCAAGCTATAAACGGAGCTCAAGTTGTAGAGAATTCTCTATGCCTCCTGCCCCCTTAATCCAGGATTACCCTTATTGTATACAGGCAGTCCCCGGGTTATCCATGATTACCCTTATTGTATACTGTAATGGAAAAACTACAAATGTGAGAGGGTCCTACAACTTTGCTGACTCCACAAAAATCCAAACGTAATAGTCACCTCAAATGATGTAAAAATACCTATTACAACTTTGATTTCTATAGAGACTTTCATAAATTAACAAACAAAACTATTTCTGAATAAAATCCAATTTTCTCCTATAAATCACAGTTTATTCTGATCCCCATCCTGGCAATAAAAGACAAGTTTTACAATTAATTATAAATATTACAAATGTGTGTTTTTTTCCTTTCTTGTGTTCCCAATTTAGCACTGCAGGAACTTCAGAGGATCAGACTGAATATGGATTTTTTTCCTTTCTTGTGTTCCTTCCCAATTTAGCACTGTGGGAACTTCAGAGGATCAGACTGAATATGGAAAAAATGGTAGAAATAGTGAATTTTCAGATGGATTTTCCTCAGCAAAAAGCCTTAGTTACAGCAGAAAAGGTACATGTTTCAAGGGTATTAAAGGCCATCACAGAAAAGTCAAAGAAAATATAAGACACGTAATTGGTCTTCTAAAAGCATCATCTTTAGAATTTTGCTCACACAAGGCAGACAGTCTGGTACATGTTGAAATAAACAAAGTGTCCAGCTGGTATTAACTTCTATTCTCATTCAAGTATGTGAGTTCAAGTATTCAATTCTTCTCCGACATATAGTTGCGACCTTTATTTTCTGCCTTAGCTCCTCACTGATGCTTGCTAGTTGAAGGTTATGTTCTAGCTGATCATCTCTTTGCATGGCATGGAGAAGATCAAGCTATTTTCATCTCCAGACTGAGTCTGGAGCAATGGTACTTATCACTCATGTCTTTTAGTTGGGCTTTAGGTATGAGCAGGCAAACTGTAACCCATTATTTCAAGGTAGAAGACTGAATCGTTTGGGATTAATATGGAGTTTAAAAGAATAAAATATCAATGGATACTTTTGAGTAATGCATATGTTAAGTTCACAATCTGCTCAAGAATATTCAGTGATCAAGAAAGAGGCCAGACTGATTTGATAAATTATTGCCAACTATTTACACAGTTCTAGTAATATGCACTATTCAAACACTGCATTATTAATGTTGTTGCAGTGTGTTTACATGGGTTATTAGTGTTCAATACTGTAGTGTCCTAAAACAACGGGACAATTTTATTACATGTATGTTAGTAGCACTTCCCATTGTCAGATTCCATTTTCAGTTGTTTAAAACTTTGGGGTGAAGGGTTGAATTCTAACTGCTGGCCTTAGGTTGAAATTTATTTGGAAAATTTCAACCAAAATTGTTCTACCATTTTTTAAAATGAGTGTGATGGAGTGTCGGGAGCGCAGGAGGGGTATCCCACACCCCACACTGATGCAGCACTTGTCCTTAATACCGCGGCGCTCAAGCTACCATGCCGAGAACGTTTGGCAGCCGCTGCAAGCGCTTGCACGGGAGCGCCCTGCACCACTGAGCCCAACAGTGGGACAGCATCTACACTGGCATCCCAGTCAGAGGGTGCAGGCTTTGAAAAGTGGGCCGCCCCATCAGGCTGGGGCAGAACCGCCTGATGGAAGGAGGGAGCGGCCCTGGCAAAGGGGCATGGGGTGAGGCAGCCCCGGAGACAGAGGCTGCCAGAATGGGTCAGCAGGAGGCCCTGGAGGAGGGCAGCGCTTTGGAGCACAACAGGAGGAGGAGGAAGGCGCCCAGGATGGGGCTGAGAAGTGGCCCGTGGGTTGGTGAGTTACGGGACATCCCCACCGACCGAACAGGAGGCTGTCATCCCTGTTCTCAGGGTCCTAGGCTGAGACCTAGAGAGAGGGTGGGCCCAGGTCTCCCTTCCCTCCCTACGCACGGGCAGCAGTAGATTAGTTGAAGTGACTTGGAAAAGACTGTTGGACACTGTGGACTACAGGTTAACTGTTGGGGTAGGGCGTCACCCGGTGAGAGTTTCCTCCCGAGAGGGAGGAAAACTGTAACAATGAGATTAAGAGAAAATGCAGTTTTCCTCACGTTCAAACAAAATGTTCTTAAATTGTTTCATCAAGAAGATTTAGTGCTTTGTTCTTTGGAGCAGGGATTGATGTCAGGGTAAATAAAGGTTGCATAAGTAACCTAATTCTGGGATTGCCTAACTTTTGAGTGCTTGACCTTGCAACCTCATGTTCTCTTAGGGTGCATCAACACTGCACCCATAGCTTGAAATAAGCTACGCAGTTTGAGCTATGCAAATTGCGTAACTTATTTTGAGTCAATTTTGAAATAGCTTATTTAGAAATTTGGCGCTGTCTATATAGCGCCAAATTTCAAAATAACCACTATACTGCAATGTCCTTTATTCCTAATTGAATGAGGTTTACAGGGACATCAGAATAGTGAGCCAGTTATATTTTGAAATAACGGGCTTGCTGTTAAGATGTGGGATAGCTATTTTGGGATTCCTTTTCTAGAAAATAGGATTTGTGGAGAAAAAGTTAAATAAAAAGTACCATCAAAGTACCAGAGCCACAGTGTACAAAATCGATTTTGAGTTCTAAGTCTTTTGTGGAAAGCACAATCATGGTAACAGACTATTTACAATGTTTTTTCATATACACATGTTCTGTTATAAATCACATAAAGCTATGAGTCAGACATAACAACACTTACTGTATAATCTGCTGTACAATATCACAGAGGGTGAAATGCAACTCACTCTTCCTCTGTGGTTGAAAAAAAAATGAATCCAGGGCTGGCTGGCTTTTTGACTGAAGTCCCCCAAATCCACAGAAGAGATACAGCATAAGCATTAAGGGTATGTCTAGACTACATGCCTCTGTCACCAGAGGCATGTAAATTAGTCTAACTGACATAGTCAATGAAACCAGGATTTAAATATCCCCGGATTCATTAAAATAAAAATGGCCGCCGCGCTGTGCCGATGATCAGCTGAGCAGGCACAGCGCGACAGCCATGTTTATTTTAATGAAGCCGGGGATATATAAATCCCGGCTTCTTTGACTATGTTGGGTAGCCTAGTTTATTTACATGCCTCTGTCGGCAGAGGCATGTAGTCTAGACATACCCATTAAGGCACCCAAAGTCTGTGCTAGAGCAGTAGCCACATATCAGTTTCAGGTACCTATTTTCCCAGGTAATAATCTGTTCCTCTGCTCTACTGCCTTCTCCTCTGTTCTATATCTTGGGTCTGCATGAGTCCCCAGAGTCTTTCTGCACCTGCAGCCTGGCATGCCAGCCTTTTTCTGAGGCTGATCCTCCACAAAGCGAAACCGATTGCTGCGTGGGGTCTACACAATAGTCTTATACAGCCTGGGTTTGTTCGGGGAGAGAAATGTAAAAAAAAAAAAAAAAAATATTTCTCCTC